CAGAGATGATTTATTGCTCTGACAATAAGAACAACATCTCCCAGAGAACTGACAGAGGACGAACTACCTGCGAGTACAACTTTGTCGTCAGGAGCCGGGATGACGCTGGGGTCTACTACTGTGCCGTCAATGCATGTGGACAAATACTGCTTGGAAATGGGACCAAGATTGGTATAAGTAACTTTGGAGTATAAGTTACTTATACATCTTATAAATCTTGTTTTTAAAACTCATAATTTCCCAAATACACATATGATGATTATCTTTTTATAACCTCTTTCTTGCTTTTTCGATTCATACATTAGAAGTTGGTTTCAAATGAAATTCTAATGTCTCCTGTCTGTATTGCCAGACGACATCAATGATCACGAGAGTTTTTCTGTCCGTGAGAGAACCCTGTCATGCATCATCATCATGATCATCATCATGGGTGTTTATCTGGCTTTCGCTGTGTTCATGATCAGTAAGAGAAACTGCTACCACTGTACAGTAACCGATGCTGTTGACCTCTATACTGTGTGTTCCACTGAGCATAACATCAATCACTTTGCCTGCTTTTCAGAGTTTAACTCAGGACTTTCTCCTCTGTCCAAGGTATGTGCTGTTTAGTTGAATATTTATATAATCATTACACCATCCTAAGTGGCTCATAATTTTGATTTCATTCACATTATTGTACTTTTTCTCAGGTTCGAGGTGAAGAAAACCTTGAAATCAGGAGATCAAATGAGCAGAGAGATGGTATCTGGAGTGAATGTGTGTACTCCAGGGTGAAGCTACACTGAACTGAAGCCGTTACGACTTTGATGCCACATGTCTAGACATGAACTTATTACTGCAGCTTTGAAATGTTTAGGCTGTTCTCTAGCTCTTTCTAACAATATCCTGCTCGATCGGTTTAAAGCCTGCTCTTTTTTTTCTGTTTTTTTTTTGTTCTAAGTGTAAAGTTTCTTGTTAACTGACTTTACTTATATTTTATCATCTTTTCTGTAAGACAAGCATGTGAGAAAGCTGACATTGCGATGAAATTTCTCGCTCGCTTTCTATCATTTCTATATGATAGTTTTTTTTATCATTAACACATATCATGCCTTTAAAAAAAGCATTTTCAGCTTTTCGTGCAGCATATCTCACTGTTTTACTGTAAGCACTGAGTTTGTAAATTGTGTGTTTTTAAACTGTTGGCTTGCATATGTGACCTTGTGAAGTCTTCTCTTTCAGTTCAGTTCCATTCCATTTATGCAGTGGCAAATCACAGCAACCATTGCCTGCTTTATATTGTAAGTTAGACCCTATAGATAATAATCTATACTCAATGATACTCTTTGTGGTTGTTTTCTTCATTTCGATGGCTGATGTAAAGGGGCTTCTCTTCATCATAGAAGAGATGATCCAGAAATGATCCATTAGTGTCACTGTTATAATAAACTGTTGTTCTGACAGTTACTTGCTTTGAGATCTCTGAGCCCTGTGTTGTTGGTTCACAGCAATAGTCCCATTTGTCACAATCACACTCACTCCACTGTTAGATAAAATTCAATTATTCAATGAAATCCTGGAGGATGTGACTTTTGCTTTTTCATTTCTAGTTAAAGAACGTTGCCTCAGGTACAGCATGGAAATAAAGGGGGGAAATTGCATTTTGCCAACAGAATAAATATCCCTTTAAA